GTTGGCGCCGGGGGCGGGCTGGGCGCTTAGGAGCTTCCCGCCTTCGCTTGGCTTCGATCCGGCCTGGCCTCTGCGGAGGCCGTGCTCGCCGCAGCTCCGATGGCGGCCAGGTAGCTCTGTTCTCGTACAGCCTTCGAGGCGCGTTGGTCGGTCCGCTCTCCTCACGAGTCCCAGGACTGCGGCCCGCCTAGGTGGTGGGCAGTGGCTCTTCCTCATTCCCCTCCAGAGCTGAGCCCTGCTCCCTCACCTACGGCTAGACAAAAGCAGAAAAGCTGTTGAGAAATTCCCTTTTCTTTTTTTTTCCCCCATTAGAATGGAGAGAAAGGGGATTCAGAGTGCTTGGAAGTCCTAAAAACATGGACGTTTGGCTGTCTGCTCGCTCTAGCTGGAATTCAGGGGGAAAACCGTACCGATTTATCCAAAAAATGTCGATGAGGGAAAGGGTGAAGGCTGATGAGTGGCATGGCACCCCAGAGAACAGGGCTGGAAGCGAAAATAACACCTGGGTTCCATCCAGCAGCCGTGTGTCTCCCCAGCTGTACTGAGTGTGGCCCCAGCCGATTCCAGCGAGGAAAGGATCCCTCGGGATCCAGTTGCTAAATGGGACCTAAAACTCAGTTCAGCTGTAAAGTAGTTTTCCTGCCTGTTGGTTATGAAATATTTAATGCTCACTGAAACTAATTTTTAGTATGCCTGAATTTGCTTTCTGTTAAATGTTCTGCGTAGTCATTCTGCTCGAACTCCTTTTCCTACCCTTACTTTGAGTTTCAGGCTCATGTATTCAGAAACTGTATTTTACATTTGAAATTAAGAATTGCTAGAGAGCACAGGTGCTATTTGGGGCATTCATTTGGGAAGCCACTGCTGTGCATGTTCTTTTTCTCAGCTGAAAAGAGGAATTAAAACACTTGCAGTAAGTTGTTTACAAATCATGGCTGATTTTTTTAAATGAAAAAGAAACAATAAAATTGAAATAATTTCATAATTGTTTAGCATAATTGCTGTTTCTCTTTTCTTTTTTTTTTTAAAGCTACAAAAATACTCCTGACTGAGAATTAACTGTGATTCAAAACAGTTTCATTTCTTCATGGAACGCATTAGGAAAGGGGAAAGCAATGCTGAACAGGAATGGAAACCAAGGAACAGGAACTTGAACATCCTTTTGTAACCCAGAATATACTAATCTGATACAATTTATACCATTCTTTTTTTACCATATCAGGGGGAGCAAGCTAGTTTAGATTTTTATTGGCTGAGAATATGGTTTTCTAGAAGATCCATACTGTAGGGCTTTAAGAATTGTTCTATATTTGTACAGCATCTACATTTGTAGCTTTGTAGATAATTTTACTTTCAGCATAGATTTCAGCTTTTATACTTGCTTAAGTTCCAAACAAGTAACATTGAGCTTTTATTTTGAAACAAAACTAAAGCAATTTAGGAGCAGATAACTTCTATGATTTGTTACTCGCTTACATAGATGCATGCTTTCTTTAGGACAGGGTAAGATTTAATACATTACTCCAATTTAAGATTAATAATTAATCTAGTAATTACACTATCTTAGCAAAACGAATCTTGAGGCAGATCTGCTAGCTGTAAGACTTGAAGATTTAGACCATGAGATACAATGAGACAATCAAATATGATGGTTTATAGTAATATTAAACTAGTGTTCAAGTGCATACTTCAAGAGCTATCCAGTGATTTCTGCTCTTCTATGTATACTAGCTTAAATTTTTAGTATAGACACATGCTTGTCTAAACTGATTATTTCAATTGACAAAAGGCTTGAACCTATTTTCGCAGTAAAACATTGTGTGTAGGAGGTAAGGAAAAAAAAAGGTGTGATGTTGCAGACCACAATTTTACTCTTCAGAACCCTGTGGTCAGGTTCTGTTTTTCCTCCTCTGGCAGTTGATGACAGCATCGTGTTAAGGTAGTGAAGTGTGCCCTTTTACTTACTATGTGTATGATATATATTTTTGATAAATCTCTAGTGTGCTGAACTCTATCTTTGGAAAGTAAGTAAACTTTATTTCTTAAAGCAGTGTTCATTTGTATAAAAAGAGACCGGTGAAACCCTGTACTTCTATTACTTACACTTAGTTTTTTCATGTATCTCTTCAGAATTTAGATTATCTACTGTTTGGAAACTGAGATAACTGGATGGACTTACACAAAGACAACTCACTTATTTTTCTGGCCACCTGCTTTCCTGCCTGGTCTATAATTCTGTGTCTATACTATTTAGGCTTGTCTATGTTATTTAAGCTCTAAGTCCCAGGTTTAAAGACCCAAGGGTTTTTTTTTCTCTCTTTGATTCCACAGTTTCTGTGTTATATGTGGGCCCATTTCACATACAGCCCACTGTGTCATTTCTGTTGTCCTATCCTCTAAACAAACAAACTTAGCAAACATAGCTATTCTTATTTTCATAGTTGCTTTTTCTGGTAAAAAAGTAAATGAAACAAAAAAAATATAGCCTCCAGATAAGAGAAGTTTTCCACTTTTCTGTTGATTTACTGTTCTAAGTATGTAGTCAAGGAATTAAACAGAAAATTAGAAAGTTATGTCCCACCAGCCATCTAGGCTGCAAGCAACTGCATAGGATTTAATACTTAGTCTGCTATTAAGGTTTGTTGATTTGTTGTTCTACTATCCAGAAAGCAAAATGAAATTAATGTCTTTTGCAGAGTTGTAGAAATCAACTGGAGATCTGCTTGGCCACATGGAAGTAGCTAAGAATGACTCCTTTACTTTGTGCTTCAGTTAAACAAGATGAGCTAGTTCAGAATTTGAGTAAACTCAGAGAAGAAAAAAGATCCAGTCATTGTCATGGGGTAAGTAAACCCAGTTTAAAAATCACAAGGCAAATACATTCAAATTGGCTATATGATTTCCTTTTGTGTGTTGAAAGACCATCCAAGATTAGGATTTTTTATTACTTATTTATTATTTTATTGGGCATTGCATAAACACAGAATAGCATAGAGGCTCTATCTAACAGAACTTAGGATCAAGTAGACATGATAGATTCGCTGTGGTGAGGAACGATACCCTGTAAGCAGTGCAATGGCATCAAAACACATTCATTGTGTTCTTTTGGAACTTTGAGACAGGCGAGGAGAGATTACTCAGGAAAAGATAGGCTGGGAAAAACAGAAGACAAGAGGGACATGTGTACAGTAAAGCATTACAAAAGTCAGATTGGGGCAAACAGCCATTGGAATGATGGCGTGTCGGGCAAACTTGTAGGCAAATTTTGAACTGCCAGAGGTTCTTGCTCTGCCTTCTGCTTGACTTACAGGTTAGAATCTACAGGTGATTTCTCTCTGCAGTCTTTAGCTGCAGTCATATGGCAACAGTAAAGGAAGTACCATCTGGGTGTGACCAAAGTGAGGATGATCTTCCTTGACTTGTTCTGGGCCCAGGAATACTTGAGGGTGAGGGATTGAGGTGTTTGAGCCTCTTTTGCTGTCTGTCTGTTCTTAAGATACAGGTTTTACACAGGAAAGTACAAAAAGATTGGGATTTCCAGTGTATGCGTTTGTAAAATACTCTCTTTACGCTAGACATTTTGCCTGCGCAGAATCTTCCTAAAGCTAATGGAATTCCAGTTTATGGGGCATGAAGGGTTCTACCTTAATTTGAGAAGGATAATGACAGATATGAAGTAAAACAAAGCACAAGATACACAGATGATTCTTTACCTAAAAGCAAAACTTAAGCACAACAGATAAAACAACTGGTGTTAAATGACAAGGAAAATAAGATCCAGTAGCAACAAAACGACCCCCCCAACAATGTTTAGTTAAGCAATAGTAACTGAGATTAAAATTAAACTGAGATTAAAAAAGAGCCTGTTTATTAATCATTGTCCATTTGGGAATAAAGGAATTATCAGATGAGCTAAGAAGGGAGTTTTTCTGTCACACTATAATTTTTCATACCAAGAAATAGTTTTAGACTTCCCTCTAAAGTATATGGTCCAGTTATTTTGCAGACAGGACTCTAGATGAATGATTGATGTGTTTCTGTATGGTATTTCTTGCTTCTCTTTCCTCTTCATAAACTACTACAAAGCAGGCTTCTATTTTGTAAGAATTAAAACTTGGGATTTAGTCTTTGCGTAAAAGTGTTTCTCAGTTTTACAAAAATGGAACTGTGCAAAAAGGGGATAACATTTGTGGCATCAAATGTACAATAGTGAATTCTCAAGATTCTGTGCTACAGTATGAGGACAATCTGCCTGTTTCTTGACACTCTACTATCTCTGAAAAAAAGAAAACTGTGTTAAGAACGTACAGGGTAGGTCATGTAATTGGGACAGGGAAAGTGAAGCAAGTATGGATTTGTGCCTCTGCCCTATAATTAAAATTCTCAATGGGAACCATACATCAAAAAACCTTTTACAATTAAACAGCAGTTGAAGTAATTTTGCTATAATATGTAATTGAGTTATAATTGTAGAGCCTTAAGAAAGGCAGGAAAGGAACAGGTACTCGATTTTAGGTAGCATGTAAAAGTGAAAAGCTATCTTGCTGTTTTGTGAAAAACAAAAGTAGAAATCCAGTTCAATGTCTGCATCTGGTAATCAGTTACTGGCTGTTATGCAATGATGTGCAATTTCTGTGGTGACTGATTGCAGTTTTTATTTAGAACCTATTAAGCAAATAAATATTCTACTTGCAGAGCAGGTGGAACCACTGCTGCATACATT